CCGGAGAAAAACCAAAAAAAAAAAAAAAAAAAAATCTTATCAATCCCAATATACAAGTTAATTCTTAAAAATATGAATCAGTTTGAAATGTTTAAATAGCCTTGTTACAATTTTATTTTAGGAAAAGTTTTTATTATCCTTTTACATAACTTAAATGATCACATTACGATGCATCTGAGTTAGAAGAGGAATACTCCAGCAAAATAAAGTTTTCACTACTCGCAGAAAAGATACACTTAAATGCTTAGTAACAGCCAAAAATATTCTTACTACACTTGTGAGTTCTAACAAAATAATACAAAAGTGCTATATAGGATAATGTGACATGACAGAACAAGCAGTTTGATATATAGACGGCTACCTCAAGATGTTTATTTCTTTTTGCAATCTCACTTGGTATTTCTCCATCTTTGGTTTGTAGCATTTTATTAGCTCCAAGTTCCAGTAACTTCAAAACTACGTTTTTATGACCCTGACACGCTGCCCACGTTAAAGCCTGTAAACAGGAGGAAAGTTTAAAGAGTGAAGTGGCTAGGAAACAGTCTCAGCAGCATTATGGAATAAAGGAGAAAACATAATTAACAGAATGATGCAATCTCTTCATTTCACAATATAATGTAAACATATTTCCAAAGCTGTATTTGCAAAGCGGACTACAATGCTCATTGATTTTATAGAACCAAAGAAGGTTTTACACAGCTACGTGATGCTATAGAGCAAGATGATTTATCTGCCAATCACTGAAATGTTTCCTACAAAAATGAGTTCTTATGTGTGTTTGAGAACCCAGCTGTTACAGCTTCTTCTGTCAGGAAAAAGGACTGAAAAATCAAATAACCTCTGTTTTTCTTTCAGTTTTTTTCTGTTTTTCACTAACAGTGACTCTGTCCCAGGCCTTCTATAATGACTACTTCATAAAACTCTTAGTAATAACCAACCAAAACCCACCTATTCTTATAGCTTCTAATAAAAATATCAATGTTTAAAAATAAAACGGAGCATTAGAAAGTGTTTCTCACAGTGTAACCATTCTCATCCTGGGCATTAACGTCTGCTCCATGAACAACAAGGAGAGCCACGACCTGAGGGTGGCCGTCGCGGGCGGCGTACATGATTGGAGTCATGAGTCTCCTAAGGAAGAGGAACAGAAGAAACACTTGCATTAATGCTGCCATTAACAACTATGCAAAATTATGAATTTAATCATACCCAATACCATCAATACTGCTGTGAAAGCAAAGAAAAAGAAAAGCTTTTAGCAAACCAAGTAATTTAAAAATCCAACCTTCCAGAAAAAGGAAAATGTAAGAGGTAACAGTTAAAAGTACTGAACACTTACATAGCACCCTCTAGTGAAGAAACATAAAAAAAACACTAAGCCATGCTTTCTAACAGGTTCCATTAATTTATACATTCATCTAGAAAATTAACAGAGCTGGTGATATAGCTCAGTGGCACAAGCACCTGTCTGGCAAGTATGAGGTCCTGAGTTTGAAGAAAGAAAAAGAAAATTAACAAGTGTACACACACTATGTTTATGCTGGAAATATAGTGATAAATGAGACCAGGTCCTTGCTTCACTGGATTTGCTCATATTAAATATTACATTTAGCAGATTGAATAAATAAAATTTTAAATGAAAAACTCTTTCTCTTATTTCTTAATGCATTATGACTCTATTTTAGCCTAAGATGTAAAGGACTTGCTTATTCTAATCCAAAAAGAGATCAGTCAAATAATATACCCTGCCAAATATTTCCAAGAGGGTAGGGGGGAGGATAGTGGTTTCTCTGTAGTTTACCATTTCTCAAAATAAAAGAAATTTGATCCCTGTACTCCTGAAAGTTAGTCTGCTTCTGGGCCTATTCTCTTTTTAAACATAGAATATACATTTATTTTAAATTTTTATGGATACGTATTTGTAGTACATGACTGTATTTCTCACAGAAAGTTGGTGCATGTGCGTAATACATCTCACATTCTTTTTCGTTCCCTCTTTCGCCCTCCTTCCGCCTCTTCACCTCCTTCTCTTTGGCAAAAGATCTACTTCCCTAGCTCCTATTACGTACCTTTTATTTTTTTATTTGTATTTTGGCTTCCTTGTATAAAAGATGTACAATAGTTAAGCTAGTGTGTCTGATTTATTTCACTTAACATCATGGTCTCATGGTGCATTCATTTTTCTATAAATGACTCGTTTATCTTTTGTGGCACTCCATTTATATAAATGCTACATTTTTGAATCCAATCATTTGCTGATGGATATATAGGTTACTTCCCAGATTTAGCTACTATGAACTCTGGTGCTATAAACACGGGTATGCATGCATCTCTGTAACAGGATGTCTTTACCTCTTTCAGGAAGATAGCTAGAAAAGAAACAGCTGGGTTAAATGGAATTCCTAGTTTCAGTTTTTTGACACATCTCCATCCTGAATTCCCTAATGACTGTATTAGTTTACATACCCACCAAAATGTAGAAAGAGGGTTTCTTTTTCTCTGCAGCCTCACCAAAATTTGTTATTTGATTTCTTGATGATATCCATTCTTTCTAGGGTAAAGCTGAATCGCAATGTTGTTTTAATTTGGATTTCTCTAATGGCCAGAGACCACTTTTTTCACGTATTTATTGGCCATCTATCATTCTTCTGAGAAGTGTATATTCATTTTACACTTCTCAGAAGAAGTGTAAACTCTTAGTAATAACCAACCTATTAACCAATAACCTATTTTTATTATTTTTTGATTTTGTGCTTTAATTTTTTGTGTTCTTTATGTATTCTAAATATTAGTTCTGTCTGAGGAAAAGCTGGCAAAATATTTTTGTATTCTGTAGGCTGTCAATTAACTACTGTTTGTTTCCTTTGCTGTGCAGGAGTGTTTTAACTTTTTTGGGCCTATTCTAAAGGACATTAGAAAGATTTTATCAGTACCATTTGGGCTGATTTTAACACATGGTCTGTTTTAATGGAGGTCTGATATTCTAGGCTTGATCTTTCTGAGTCATTATGAATATCTGAAAACAACTACAAAGAACAGGCAAAAAAAAAAAAAAAACCAATTTCATAATTGTGATCTGACTAAAAAAAGTTTGTTATTCACACTTCTATTACCTATTAACAGAATAGTTCTCTGTAAGACTTGTTAGCATAGGTATATCCTGAATCTGATCACTTAGTACCAACGTCTTTGGCATAGAACAATTTACATGTTTATGTTTCTTCTATTTCCTAACACAATGTTTCATTTGAAGTTATATGCTAGTAGGAAAACAATTGCTCTTTTACCATAAGTAGTTCCTATATAATGGCTGTATAAAGAATGGTAATCTTTAAAGGGTGGAGAGTCAATTTCCTGGGTAACATATATATAAAATCAAGTCATATAACCAAATTCTTCACTGTGTCTACATTAGACCTCTTGATGTCTGGCCTCCGTTCCACTTCTGTCCACAAAAGTCCAAACTGCTCCTCTCAATCTCTCCTATTTTAGGGAGCCACCACTGAACACATCACTCAGGCGCAACACTCAGATCGTTTGTGACCCGTCTCTGTCACTCCATACCGAAGTCACCAGGACGTCCTCCCGACTCTCCCTTCAGAACACACGCTGCACCTGAGCACTTCTTGTCACCCTGTCAGCCACTGCAGTAGCCCGGGCCATCTCTGCTTTCTCTGCTTTGTATTATTACAACGGCTTCAGATTTGTTCTTCATGCTTCTACTCTTGGCCAATTACAGTTTACTGTAATTACTTAGAAATGCAAAGTTGTTTTCTTTTCAAGGGAACAATGTTGCACTGGTTTCTGACTCCACCAACAGTAAATTTGTAACAGGGCCTACTTTAAAACATAGATTAATTCATTTCTTCATGCTATTCACATGATACCATCTCCAATGTTGCATAGCAATTTTGATAGGAAAAATGACAATTCTCCCAGAAGTTTTTAGATCTACAGAAACTTGTAACATCTGTAATTTCTTGACTGCTGTCTTGGTTACTTTTCTCACTGCTGAGACAAAATACTTGATGTCCAAAGTTAAAGGGAGAAAGGTTTATTTAATTCATAGTTTGTCAAGGTTTAAGTCTATAATCGGCTGGCTCCAAGGCAGGATGGCACATGGCAGAGGGGGAACTGTTCATGGCAGTGGAAGACAGCAAAAACAGTGACAGAGAGCAAGACAAGCATCTTTCTGTCCCGTATATTGTATGCAGTGTACTGGAACTAGGGTGGTGCCAATCCAATCAGTGGACCGATCCAGCAATAACCTACTGTTAATCCCAGCACCTGCAATCCCAGCACTGCACTATGAATCAATCACACACTCCAGATTCAGTCTCTTTTGAAAAAGCCCCATCTAAAAGGGCATAAGGCTTTGGGGGGACACGTAGACATAAACCGTAACAGCTTGTAGTTAAATGAAGCAGCAATCTCACAGACTCTTCAAGGGAATTATAAAACTGTGTATTACCTGGCCTACCCAAGCGGAATGGTAATTATCTGTACTACTGATAGTATTCTAATGCCAATTTTTATCTTACTTCCTAAGTCAATGTAAAGAATTCTTCCTTCAAACCACTGTTACTTCCTTCTTTTCTCTCCTTCTAACACACATTCTGCTTTAGCAGAAATCAATGGTTGTTTGGACTCCTCTTTTCCTAGCACTTAGTCACGTTCTGTCTTCAATACTCTTTTCTTCTCTCAATACAAAACCATGCCAGCATGTCACCTAGTCTCAGGGCTTTCACTGTCAATTCACCTCTTAAAATTCTTAACATCACACCTATAAAAATCACTGTACCTCTTGGGCACCTGCAGCTACATAGCACTCCAGCTTAATATTAGACTTAAATTTTATCTTCAGGTCATGAATCCCGAGTTTTCCTTCCTCCTGACGTCCCATACACAAAAAACAAACTCTGGCTGAAAAGCCTTTTCAATTTTCTTCTTGATGAGCTTATTTCTGTTCTATCTGAGGATTTATTTTAGAAGCTAGTATGTCTCCCAATTCTTTGGGAGAAAGAAAAAACCAAAAAACCTTTGTTCTCCTTAGAGAATGTCAAAATAAGTGCTTAAATATGTTTATTTCCCCTTCCCATACTAAACTAAAACCCAGCAACTATTTTACTATGCAGTCTTTCTTTTCCCCTCAATATACAGTATTCAAAGACTTTTTCTTCCCCATAATGTGATTATCATTATCAATCTTTTACTTGTTTCCATATCTTTCCAAATTTTGAATTCAAACATCACATTTTAAGTTCCAAGAAATCTTATTTACTGTTTATTTAGATCTCATGAATTCTTAATTTTAAGTTCAGTTTTCATTATTTTCCTTTAGTAATTTTATGGTATTAGGCAAATTTTTAAATTGCTAATCCTTTTCCTAGTTGTTATGGTTTCATTTCTCTTCTGCTTTTTAAAAAATTTTAAGAAACTATTGGTACATGATTGCAGTACATAATAATTACATTCATGAGGAGCTGGTACGTGTACATAATGGGTCTTCTTTTTTATCCCCTCCCACATTTGTCCCTTCCCCTTTCCTCTACCTCTTGATCCCCTTCTTTTTGGTAAAAGATCTCCCTATTTCCAATGACCTATTTTGCTCTTTATTCATATTTTGAGTTTCTCATATAAAAGAAACCATGGAAGATTTAAACTTGTGTCTGATTTATTTCACTTAAAATTATGTTCTCAAAGTGCACCATTTTCCCACAAATTATTCAGGTTTCTCCTTCCTTATGGCAGAGTAGTACTCCGTTGTGTATAAGCGCCACACTTTCATTATCCATTCATCTGCTATGGACATAGAGTTTGCTCCCAAGATTTACCTATTATAAACATGGGTATGCATGTATCACTGTAATATGGTGCCTTTAATTCTTTTTGGAAGACACCTAGAACAAGAATGGCTGATTTATTTATTTGAAAACTCTCCATACTAAGATAGAATGGATAAATACACAATAACAGATTCAAAGTTTCTCATACTCTCTGCTTCCCTATATAGATGTTATATACTGCTGGATATAAAGTTAGATGGCTACTTCTGTACAGGAACTGTCTTGATAGATGAATTTTCTCTTTAGTAAATAACATTTAGGATTTTTTTTTAGTACTTTTTTTAG